GCAAAAATGTGCTGGGACTTGGGCGGGTACACAGTGTGTGTGTGTGTGTAAACACATGTGTTCATCAATCGGCACGAACAAATCGGCTGGCTTGGAAACACATGACTGCAACATAATCGGCTTTTCCCTGCAGGCCTGCAGCTACCCTGGGAAGTCCACAAATCCACTAACTGTTTTGTACAGTTGGAATCTAAGGAGGTATAGCACGCACACACATATCCACTTGTGTTTTATGTATACTTATGAAGACATGTAGTGCCTACAGAGAGAAGATGGCACGCATTAGCTAGGTTATACACATAGACCTTGCCCGGCATGTGGTGCTTAACCTCCTAGCACACCGGCCCATTCAAAATCTCATCTAGCCCACTGTCAGAATCACAGCAGTCCTCTGTGTCCTGAAAGACACATCCCTGGTCCTCCTTCACCAATTGCTGATTCTTTGGCAACTCGTCCAGGAACTGCTTTATGATGGCACCGACCTGGAGGCGCCATCGAGGCGGGCATGCTGCTCGCGCGGCCACATGCAGAACATTAATGCTTTGCTAGCAGCACGCACACCGAATCGCCCAGGATACTGCGCCGAATCAGATAGATTTTTCCCACCGGTCTCAGAGTGTGCAACGCAATTATCAGAAGTTACAACTCTCATTGGACTCCAAACATAGAACAGACAATCTGCAATCGAAGGCGCCGATCTCTGCTTGCCACGAGCATCCCGAAAGGGACGGTGCGTCTCGTACTTCATGAAGCTCTTGATTTTTCGCAGTTGCGGCCTGCGTTGTTAAGGTTTCGGTTTTTTGTTGAGGTTTATAGGAAGGGGAAAAAAGCTTTGAGTTCCATGCGGTTCCGGGGGCCTCGAGATTGCAGTCTGAGCATCAGCGATATTTCGAAGCCACGGTGCTGTACCGACCAGTTGGACCTGTTGTCGGGTTTAGAGAATAAACAGCTTTGTACAACCCCCACCTCAACCCTAAAACCCCGAAGCTCTCCGATGCCTGCTTTGGAGTCGGCCCCCCGAATTGTCCCAGGGACACAACCACACATTCAGCTCGATGGCGTTTGATCATCGCCTGGGATGCATGCATGAAGCCATGCCATAGGATTGGATTAGAGTAGGTGGGGTTTGAAGGCAGCTGTTACACGGTTTAAGGTGTAGGGTTTGGGGTCTAGGGTTTAAAGCCAAGCGCGGCGTGCGCGTGGACATGCCCAGAACACACGAGATGCACAAATAAGCATGCGCGCTGTGTGCCCAGAATGCACGAGCTCCCCAAATAAGAAACTTTGAGGTCGAATCCCCTTAAACCCATAATGAAACCCTGAAGCCCATACATGAAAGCTATCAGATTCCAAACTTACAGGCCCAATAGCTCCTCGGCTACAAAGTGGTATGTGCCACAATCTAGGCAAAAAGCTTCATCTTTGCAACAGATTGAGGGCTGAGGCTCGGTGGTTACCGTTGTGTCAGTCGTGTCGCGGTTGTTGCTGTTGATCTGACGCTTGCTCGTGCTGCATGTGTTTGCATCAAACTGCTTTTCGCGATAGAAAAGACTTTGGTCATCAACACCATCAAGGGCAAATCAGGAACCAAGATAGCTTTACGGCTTTAAGTGCATGGTACGCGCTACAATGTAGATGAGGCTCGCATCAAGAACAAGGACACCATCGCATGCCGCTCGGTCTAATTAATCGCTTCGTCGTTCCAATCGTCACTGAACAGACTGCGGGGCCGTGACATGACTTTGTCAATCTGCGACTCATTTATGACGTCATACCGGGATCTGGCACTCCGTGGGTTCGAAAACACCCAGCAGTCAATTCCTTCAGAGTCAGATCGCAGGACCGCGTGGCATGATGTATGGGGCGTGTAGCTGTAGATCAGTCGCTGGCACTGTGGGATTTGGCGGTAAGGGTGTGGAGTCACCAAAAAATCCTCCTTCATCCTTCAATCTAGATTACGACAGCCCTGCTGCGACACATGATGATGATGTTGCTCCCACCGTTGTTTGCTCAGGACTTCTACCAGTAGAACTTGTATATAATCGGCATCACATCGTCATTCATTCAGTGTGGCTTCCATGCTTCAGTCAAGATTGATTTGCTGACACTGTAGGCTTGGCAGTCTTCGCGCTGACGATGGGGCTCTACGGATTCTTGCAACTGCGCTGGCGTGGCGACTGGCTTTGACTTCGAAACTGGAGCTTGGATGCAGCCCTCCCTACGTAGCTTCGTTTGTGCACCCATATCTATTTGCACAGCGTCGATCGTTTGCACAGGGTGCGATTAAATGACCCTATAGCCCTATTGGCCCTAAACCCTAAACCCTAAACTCCTGAGCACGGGTATGTCTGCAATATGCGGTCCTGAAGTCACAATATAAAAGTCCTGCCCTGAAGCCTCAATAACAATCGTCCTTTGAAGCCACGCATGCAACTACCCGCAGATGAGACAAGAATAACTAGCAGGCCCTACCTGAGGTCCTCAAGCTTCAATAACAATCGTCCATTATTTACAGCCACGCAAGTACCCGCAAATTGAGAAAAATACTAGTAACTAGTAAGCCCTGTAGTCCAATTGGCTGAGCCCAGTCCTGAAGAGAAATAACAATCGTCCTTTAAAGCCACCCAATAATCGTCCTGCCCACAAATGAGAAAAGACTACCTATAGCAGGCCCTGTAGTCCAATTGGCCGAGCCCGGCCAGATCCTGAAGCCTCAATAACAATCGTCCTTTGAAGCCACCCAAATTCCCGTATAGAGAGCAGACTAACTAGCAGGCCCTACAGTCCAAATGGCCGAACCCTGAAGCCTCAAGAACAATCGTCCTTTAAAGCAAATGAACTACCCGCAGATAAGAAAAGACTAACTTCGCTTGGTTTTGGCTTCCAAAGCCCTGATTTCCAACCCCCTGGTTTTTAGTTTTTAGGGGGGGTTGGGAAATGCTGCTTTTGGGCTGTTTCAAAGCAGCTGGCATGATGAAGGTGACTGCTAAACGTTTGAGTGATGCGTTGATGATGATGATGATGATGACGATGATGATGGCTGCTGCGCACCACCCTCGTGCTAGCATGCCCTACATAGTCCAATCGGCCGAACCCAGTCCTGAAGCCTCAATAACACTCGTTCTTTTTGTAAAGCCACCCAACTGTACCTGCAGATGAGAAAAGACTAGCTACAGGCCCTATAGTCCAATTGGCCGAACCCGGTCAGTCCTGAAGCCTCAACAGCAATCGCGCTTGAAAAAAACAGCCAGACAACTACCCATAGAGTCGAATTGGCCCAACCCAAGAATAGCAACCCCTAGCCTAAACCCGACAAACCCTTGTTGGGGGTAAGGAGCCAAGCCAAAGATCTTCGAGCCAGTTACTCACATCCACAGACAGGCAGCTCAGCAAGGCCCAAAGCTCAAGCTCCCAAACCCGAACCTAAGTAAAGAGCCCAATAACGAATGAGATCTCACAGACCCCCCTAAACGAATCATAGCCTAGGTTGGCGAAGTCTGGACAAGGATGAATGCACCACGGCGGCCTAACATACTTTCCAACAGAATGCCACTTGTTAGCAATATCCGATTAACGACAGTTGCAGAAGCCACATCATTCAAACACCTATCCCTTATAATGGCCTTAATGTTTGCTCGAAGGATTAGGGCTTAGGGCTTGAGGGTTTAGGGTTTAGGGGTTTAGGGCTTAGGGTTTAGGATTCAGGGTTTAGGGTTTAGGGGGCATCGGTCCGTTGCATAGATTTCCAGGCAACATTTCCGAGTATCGAAACACAAACAAGCGCGCACTGGCCCCAGACCCCAACCCACTACCGAGAAGCAAACTAGCTGGCACGACATCCCAATCCTGCATTCAACTGCTCTATAGATACAAGCCCATATAAGTACCCATCCCAACTCCCTACATGTAGCTAACACACCCGATGCACCGACGCCTTACAAAGCTCATACACTATTTCTACTAAACATGATAAGGTCAATGTTTCCGATGGAAACGAAAGTTAGCAATCTTATACCGTCTTATACCTCCTTTGAGTGCTTGAAAGCACGGTCCCCAACGTTTATATTCCCTAATAGCCGCAAGCTGAAGATCTAAAGCCGCGCATAGTATCTATTTCTAGAGCCCACTTCGACACGCTTTTGAGACTCTAGAGCTCCATCCCAAACCCAAGCTACTTAGTTACTTGCTAGGTTGACACCGATCAGGCCAGGGTTTTACTACACGTCAGGAAATGCTCCGTGCAGACGATAATGACTGCATCCGAACTGCATCGAAGGACTTGTAGCGAAACACCAGGGATGAATGTGGATTCTCGATCACGTAGTGGATGCCGCGCTGGAACAGATATTCACACCTGTACCAAGACGCACGCATGCCCTACTAGCACGGCAAACACACCAGCACGTGGAAAGCTAATCTGGGTCTGAGGTACAGATAGCAGACTCGTCTAGCGAGTCGGTTTGCATCTCTGACCTTCTTGAAGTGTCTGCATCCTGATCCAAGGATTTTGGGGAAAAGCTGCTATGGTCAACACGAACGAACAGAGTGGCTGGATGCCTGTCCTGATGTTGACAGACGAGTGCGCTTCGTCGATGCTCGGCTCCTATGAAATAAGAAGCACAGGCAGAGAGAAGTTGCGATTGTGGCATCAGAAATGAACATGTGTACTGATACTTGCAGCTCAGTAGCATCCAGACCCAACTTGCGCAGGGCACTCCCATCCAGCATACTCCATTGCATACCAATCGGCGTAGCTCAGCTTGCAATTGCTATGAGAAGCTGAGATGTTTCGGACTCTTTCAATGCAGCACAGCGGCCAGCTGTAGTGTGGCCAAGAATCCGATCGTAGTTAACAAATCAAATTTCCGCGAGTATTTCGCCTCGTCAATCTGCAATCTATGCATATGGAATCGCTCACAGGTAACAGTGTAGCTTGCCAGCTTATCAGACGAGGCACATCGGCCGCCTTGACCCTGAGATTCGACAATTGGCAGCCTTCTGCCAGAACTCGCGATCCTCTGTGCAGCCGATGCGTGCAATGGTGTGAACACAATGATTAGATGTCGAGAAGCCTGCAAAGAGTTCGATGACGTGCACACCATCGCTTTGCTGCGTCTCACCGAAGCCTCTGGCAGAGAGAGAGAGAGAGAGTGATCGAAAGATCGAGCAGGAGCAAAAGTCGGAGGCAGCAGCGTGGGACACAGCATCTCATTTGTTGCGACAACACGGACCGCTAACCCCAGAAGCTCATGCATGTTCACACAGAGAGATGATGGCATGTGACAGATTGCTGTTTTGGGCTTTGTAGAACCTGGGCGACAGCAAAAGCTGAGAGACCGGCTGGCCACGAGAGAGGTGAGCACCAGGGCCAAGTTGGAGAACTTCATTGCGCATCTAAAGATGCAGCCACAGCAAGGAGGTAATCTACCACAGCACACTTTGCAGACACCGCTCTAGTTGTCGGTTAAGGTTTTGCATGAGTGGAGGGCAACTACCTGAGCGGCCTAAATCGTGTTGTGGCCCCCGTGGATGTTTCTTAATTCTGACTTGCTGTTTGGACGTGTTTGTAGCACGCCCACAGAGCGGAGGCGGAAATTGAAGCTACTGAGCATGTCTCGGAACAAGCATCGTGCGCATGAGCTCTATAGGACTGCAGATCAGCGAAGATGGCACGGAGAACCAAGCGCAATTCTGTGCCCATCTGTTCATCTGGGCACGATGTTTTCCCTGTTTCTCGGGCACGGCACGCGTAGTCACTAGAGGTCGTCGTCGTCGACTTCCTGCACAGAGACACATGATTTACCAGCAAAGGAAGATAGATCCCCTGACCGTCGATCCTCGAGAACACTCCTGAGCCGCTTCCATTCGCGACCGCAAATGAGATTGAACCCTCAGTTGGCAATCAATGAAATGTTCAGCCCAGAAGCACACACACACACACACACCCTAGTTTGAGCCCTGGACCATCGTCACAAACCATGTCTTTGTCCAAGTCCGCCAGTCTATAAAAATTTCCCCAGCCCTCCTGCTCTGAAAAAGTGTGCAAGCATCGGATATTGACGTCGTCGTCATGGCACGGAATAAGTTCACGGGCCCACACAGGTGTTTGAGTACTCGTAGTCACCATAGCGACGTCAGTCTTTTCTGGCTCCTTCGGCTGAGCTCTTCTTTTCGGCTCCTTTGGTTGGGCCGCTCTTTTCGGCTCCTTCGGCCGAGCTTTGCTTTTCGGCTCCTTCGGCCGAGCTTTGCTTTTCGGCTCCTTCGGCTGAGCCGCTCTTTTCGGCTGCTTCGGCTGAGCCGCTCTTTTCGGCTCCTTCGGCTGAGCCGCTCTTTTCGGCTCCTTCGGTTGATCGGCACGACCAGGCTCTCTTGGTCGCCAGTTCGATTTGCCACTCCTTGATTTGTGTTGCGGTTTCTCTTCCCCAGCCATGGCTGCCCTGATGTGCTGCGCTGCGCCGTGCTTTCTTTCAGTCACTATCCAGAAATGGTGCTGCGCTACATTATGGTCGTCTCGATCACATGAACACGAATGCGATGTGATGATGGTGATTTCAACCGTGGGCCACAACAAAACTGAGCAACACAACAACGGAGATTGCCGCACAACGAAACCGCTCGCCTTGATTGCTGCATTCTCACCCACGATTTTTTCAACGAAGCCAGCGCAGCATGCATCGCTTGCGCTATATAACAAAATCCGTGCGGCAAGGCATCTTCTTGTAGTCCATCTAGTACTTGCGCTTCCTCACCTGAGCTGCTCAGTTCTTCATTGGCCACCGCAATCAACACCCAAAGCTGCCAGGACCTCTATGCCAAGTCACCTGGCGTGGGTCCAAACTGGCGATGATGTCACTGTACTCCTGGGATGCCTTCCACGCCTTCTCCTTGTCCCTGTGCACCATATCGGGATGCCTCAATATGACGAGTACTGAATGCGACTATAGGAAACAAGGCACCCACACATGTCATATCCTGCCAAGATACTGCTCCAGAAAAGCTTTCTTCGCGGTCATGTAAGCATCTCTGTCGGGGTGGGCACTCGCAGCCTTTGCCTTAGCCTTTGGCTTTTTTTTTGTTGTTGCAGCTTTTGCCTTGGCCTTTGCTTTGCCCGTTGCTTTGTTCTTTGCCTTGGGCTTGCCTTTGACTTCCTTGCTCAAGGCAACTTTTGATGCTGCTAGGAGTCTTTGCGACGTCGGATTCAATGCTTGGTGTTTTCCACCGGCACACATGGACCTGGCCTTTGCTTCCACGCCGGACGTTGTCACCGGCTCCTTCTCGATCCACGGCTCCTAATCATTAGACAAGGCATACCAGTAAGAACCACAAAAAGCAAACAAACCCGAAGCCGAGGAACAGGGGTCTCCACGGTGCGGTTTCCACCGACAACAAGTCGATCGGCGGTAGTTGGTTCCTGAACACAACAGCACAACCCAGCAAGCAACCAAGCAACACACACACACACACACACACACACGCACACGAGAGCCAGCCACGCAAGACACAGGCACACAACCGCACTGAGCGACCATTCTCATCAGAGCTGCATCGGCAGCATCCGCATCACCACCAAACCACTCTTCCTGAGCGAATCGCCACTGTCCAAAGCGCTGCACGGGCACCGCTCCCGACCTTGAGGTGATCTCCCAAGGCCATGGTCGTGGCATCCGATGCCACCTCATCAGCAGCCTGCGAGACCAGCTAAGTGTTCGCCTCGCAACCCAGCCTCATGTTGTGCAAAGCTGGCCCGGCCTTCCACCCTGCGGCCTCAGCATCCTCATACCAAGAGTCGGCCCAGTCGGCTGAAGCCTGCGAGGTGCCAACGAAGTTGGGCTGGTACCCCCTCTCTCTAGACTCTTTCCTCGCAGCTCAAAAACCAGCCTCATGCTCATCCTCATTCCAAAACTCGGCTGCCTCAGCCGATGCCTCATAAGAAGCCTGCGGGGATAAGTCGGGCTTGCACAGTTGGCTGCTGCAGCCTACAAGGACATCTTCATCGCCATGCAGTTGTGATCTCCTTATCGCTCGGCCTCCCAATCTTTAAAGCTCGAGTCGTCGGCCTCCCATCGACTGGCCTTGCCATCTGCATCATCCTGGCGGCAGACACGGTTGCAATCACAAGCAAATTTATCTAGATTTATACACTTGAGTATGTATGCAATATGCAAGTATATATAGATATACATATATACATATATATATATATATATAAATATTATTATTATTATTATTATTATTATTATTATATACACACATACAGACATACTCAAGTAAAACCCGGCCTCGTGCTTCGCGCCAGTCCATTTGGCTTCCATGTCCTGACCATAGAAGCGAGTGAGACAAGCACGCGCACACATCCCGGTGCGTGTACCTCGACTCCGATCCAGGAAGAACCACACCAATCGTCGTCCTGCCAAATTCACTCGCGTGCTCTTTGCTGAACACAAAAAAGATTATAAGACTCGAACCCAACCTCAAACTCGGTGACACCCTTCTCGGACCAGTGATCGGGTGCTGCAGTGGGCGCCTGACCACAAATTGTGTGTTGTGTGCGGTAGAACGTTCGCTGCCTGTGCAACGCGTCGGCCTCCTCGGACCAGTAATCGGTTGCTGCGTGCACCTGTACACGCAATGCAACAAACAGCTCAGGCAACATTAGTGAATCCGGCCTCAGAACCGTACTCGGTTGCTGCGGGCACCTGCATGTGCAATGCAACACAAAACTCAAGCATCAGTGGTGTGTCTGGCCTCGGACGGATACTCGGGTGCTGCGGGCACCTGTATGTGCAATGCAACACAAAGCTCAAGCATCAGTGGTGTGTCTGGCCTCGGACGGATACTCGGGCGCTGTGGGCACCTGTACGTGCAATTCAACAAAAAGCTGAAGCATCATTGGTGAATCCGGCCTCGGACGGGTACTCGGGCGCTGCGGGCACCTGTACATGCAATGCAACGAACAGCTCCAGCATCATTGGTGAATCCGGCCTCGTGAATCGGGTCATCCTCATCCTTGAATAAGCGGACTGTATAATAAGGAGACGAAACAACTGATTGAAGACGAGACCTGCTCCTCTTCTCCACCCTCAGAACCATCGGAATCCTCAGAAGCATGTTGACATGTGAGTCTGAAATTCAACACTGACTCTGAGGAAGCAGCCATATACGCGGGCGGCTGTGCATCATAAGCTTCATCCTAGAATCGTTTCTGGTGCACAGGCACTGAATGAGTAAACGCACAACCTCGTCTGCGTCAGCTTCAGTGCCGTCCCACTCCTGATCATCCACAGGCCGCTGGCTTCTATGTAAACTTCCTAGACGGGAGTAACAATCGACGGGCCTCACCGTCCAGATCATCCGCCCCTTTCATAGGGCCAGCCTTTAGCAGGTGAGCTGTCATATATTCAAGCGCCATGAATATGGCATCATAATTATTGAAGCCAGTTCTCTCCCACGCGCCGAAGCGGTGCCGCATCAACGGGAGCATCCCAACCGCAATCCTTCCAATGATCCAGCACATGACAGCATCTTGCATACACAATCTGAAGATTACACTTTGCCGACCTGAACTTGCGTCTCCAACTCATCAGGGTTCGCAGCCATGGCAGCACGGTTTGAGCGCTCCCAAGAGTTCTTAACAGATCTTCGAACAAGCTTATGAAGGACGCGGGATTGGTCCGTCACCCACGTATCGATGTCGAAATTACCAACCAGGGGCGGAACTAGACCGTGCTTTGTCACCAGCAGTCGCACAGCTAACTTCAAAGTTCCGAATGTGTAAAAGCGATGAGCGCAAAACTTGTTTGTCCAACTCAGAAATTGCCGAACCTTCTTAAATCTCAAGGATCTCGCGGGAGCTAGGTTGCCAGACCTCTCGAGCTGAGCAAGATCTATGCTCCTGTACAGCTCGCGGGCCACCAAGAGAGCCTTCGCAGCCTTACGAGTAGGCAAAAGCGTGTTCATGGGCCGCACAGCTGCCTTCGGACGCAGCGAATGAGCAATGACACAGCACACGCAAGTCACCGATCAGGCTTGCACTGGCCAGCATGCTGGAGTGGACTGAATTGGTCCAGAAAGCAAGTCGGGAATCGAGCGCACTTATCCGGAGAAGCAAAATTGCAGTGCGAGAAAGAAAGGGAGAGAAGGATCTATATCTATAGCACATAATATATATATATACAGATATGTATATATATATATATACATATAAATATATATATATATATGTACAGATAGACATATGCAGACATATAGAAGTATGTACATATGTATGTATGTAAATGTAAGCTGTGCGTATATATGTATATGTGTGTGTGTGCGTGTATGTTTTTGTGCGTGTACATGTGTTTGTGTGCTATATAATTGTGCATGTGTGAGAATTGCCGACATCTATATAGTTATCTATGCACACATATAGATGCGCGATTGCGTTCATACAGCTTCGTATAGGAACTGAAACCTTATTTTTGTGCTTGATCGGTCAGTGTTGCACACCTCTTGCCGAGGGTCCAGCACACTAGTTTGTTACATATAGAGCCGGATAACAACATAGAGCCGGATAGTCACTTAGATGCGTTAAACACGTGCTGGTGTGAGTCTTGCTTCAATACACTTGCAAGCTTGAGTTGTGAGATTGAAGAGCCCACGCCGGTCTTGCTGGACCCCGGCGCTTGCAGGATTTGGGCGAAACTGCAGGATGTGTGTGCAGCCTTGGCCGAGGCTCAGTGTAGAGAGATGGCGAATCTCCTGAAGAGTGCAGCTGCCTTCAAGGAAAAGGCAACCGATTGTGGCCTCCTGGAAAGCCAGCTTGCCGTTCTTGCTGGGAAAGGGATAGACACCCTAGCTACCTTGGCGTACGTCTTGACCACGCCTGGTGTCACTCCTTCGGAACAGGCCTTGCGGGAACTTCTGGATTCGACCAGTCCTGACTCGGTGGCGCTTCAAGCTTTGGCATCCATCAGGAGGTTGACCTTTGAAGCGCAAACCCTTTGCATTGCTCAGATCAAGGCAAGCATTGACACCGAAGGTGAGACCAAGGTGGAATTGGCGCCGGCAGAGAGATCCCAGCGCATCGCTGCTCAGAGGAAGCGTTTGGCCGGTTTCGATTTAACTGGACCCTTAGAAAACGCTTATGCAAACTATGCCTATGTGTCGAGCATGGTGGAGCATGATCATCCACAGTGGCCTGAACTCCACCGCTTTATCTCTAGGGAGAAGCCGGGGAAGGAAGTGATCCTAGATGAGTCTGCTAAGCTCTCCATTCGAGACCGTCGCACCAAGGACCGATGTCAAATACAGAACGAGCTCCAGTTATCTGAAGCCATGACAAGGAGGGCTCTGGCGTGCGATTTATTGCAAGTGTGTACCTTTGCTGTTATGGAGAAATGGCATAGATACCTTCTGAACAAGCTTTCCACTCCGCCGCCACCAATTTACCGGCCCACCAGTATGGAACAGGTGCTCCGCGCGGATCGTCAGGCCTGGATTCGCTTTGCGGAGGAAGTGCCCAGCTTGAAACGTGATGCTTCGGGTGAGTTGCCCCTTGATGTGGCTTTTCCAAAGCTACAAATGGATCCGCATGTCACTTACTTCTTGCAGCCCTTGCAGGGAAAGAGTTTGCTGAGGGTCCCGACCACGGAAGATGAGGCCCCATCATCCTGGAGGGGTCGTGGCCGTGGCCGCGGCAAAGGCGGGGGACGTAAGAGGGTTGCTGATGGAAACCTTAAGAATGAAGGTGGATCCAAAGGTAGTGGAAAGGCCCCCGCCGAGCTGCAGGATAGCAAGCTTAAGCACAACACCGCTGAGGGTGCCAGGATTTGCTGGAATTGGAATCTCGCAAAGAGCTGCTCCTTCGCGAAAGCAGGTCAAGCCTGCAAGCGGGGTGCCCATGTCTGCATGTTCTGTCTGGGGCCACATAGCTTGCTGCAGTGCACAACTTACAAGCGAGATGAGTGACTATCTGATGCACTGCCAGTGTCATCCCCCTCAGCTGACCCTCGGCCTCCGCGCAATCATCATG